GTGGGGGGTTCCTCTGTCAAAGGTCTAACTTTACATTGCAAATCGCTAGACTAAGTTGTTTGGCATGAATACTTGTGGAGAATATTCTGCTTGCACAGCCAGCCTCGAGCTCTTTGGGGGAAAAAAAAATCTTTCACAGACACTAAAAGTTGAGGGCTATATTTCGGGCCCACGTTAATAATTTGCTCGTAGCAAACGCAGCTCCTTCAGATGAAGTTCTCTGCCTGGTCTTTTTGCATGGCAGAGATGTCCGCGTGGCATGCAGCTTAGCCGTGGTGTGTGCTCGGTTGAATATGGTTTAAATAAATCAGTAAGTTTGCACCTTGTTTTGCAATAGTTGTACCAAAGTCGGTCCATGGAGCAAGGTCTACAAGCGTATCTGCTTGTAATCATTCACTGGACAGACCTCAGATCTGACTTTTTTTTCCCCTGTTTTATAACTGAAGTCTTCTGCTTCCTGAAATGCAGGCTGTTGGATTCTGCAGGGACCTGATCAGCTATTGAGACCCCGCAACCTGATTGAGGAGCCAACCTGATCTACGTGCCTTGTGTTTGCTTGACTTGCTTTGGAAGCCGTCTGTGCTTTCCACTGGCGCACCCCAGACTATCACCCTCCGTGCCAGGCAGGCAAACTAGCCGCCACGCTCCTGTCCCAGAAACTGCATCGATTCCTCGCGTGCATCCTAACTGCAAATTCTCCATTAGGACTGCTCTCATGAACGAGCATTTGCAGAATCAGACCCATGTTAAGGCCTCTATGCATCTTTTTATCATCTTCTAGGGCACTTTACCTGAATGCTCCTACCACAGGTACTTCTTCCACCCTGACTCCGATGCTTTTCCAGGTGCCAAAAACCGTGAGTACTCCCCTCCCCAGCTGCAAAAAATTATTGCTATATTCCAGCTTTCCTTCAGAAATGGCCACAGAAGAGCTGTGTTGCCAATTCCAAAATCTGTACCACATTTTAAATCACATTTATGAGCCGAGTGAAAACGCGGAATTAACGCTAGAAAATAACACAGAGTACTGTGCTGGCCGTGTTTATTTTCACACTTTAATTCAATAAAAAAAAAAAAATCTTCACTTTAATTGGCCTGAACCGGCTCCAGAATTTGCAGAGAGCTGAGCATTAGCGCGTCTCCAACCAGAGGTCCTCGCTTAACGGAGTCTGGGTCCAGAGTACGCAGTATCACTAATCGAATCGAGCAGGCTGGCTCGCTCCCAGGATACTTGGTGGAGAGCCGTGGACTGGGAATGAAAAAGGAAGCGTGAAGACAAGTCTTCAGAGAGAATTGCTGGCTCCGTTCTAGTCAGGGGAGATTTCACCTTCAGTGCGTAAAAGGGGGAAGAGATCAGCCATGAGCATGGCAGAGTACAAGGCCTGTAAGGAACTTGGTTGATCGCTTCTCCCTTCTAGAAGGGAAGGCTGAGGAAAGACTAGCAAATTCACCATTTTTATTTTATTTTTTTTTTTGCCACAAGTGATGGTAATTTTGACCATTTTAATGACGGCTTGGGAGGCCAGTAAGGGGAGGGCAGGGGAGATGGGCTCCCAAGGGAGGTGGTGCTCTCCCCTACCCTGGGGGTCTTCAAGAGGAGGTTAGATAACCATCTAGCTGGGGTCATCTAGACCCA